TAATTGTTAAGAACTGGCTACATCGTTTGTTAGCCGTCAGACGCTAACACACAGGAAACTGTCAGCATAACAAAAAAAAGTTCTATTTCGGAGGTATCCTGATGCTTACTTACCTTTACACTCCACTTATGAGGGAAAGACAAGTATGTGGCGGAATTCTTATACGGTTTGCTTCCCGCCCTTGGCTCCTCGGCTCCACCTCCCGACCTCGCTCTCTCTCTCTCCTCCTCTCTCACCCAACGACGGCTGTACTTCCTGAGGAGGCTGAAGAGGTTTGGCATGTCGCCTAGGATCCTTTACAGCTTCTACAGCTGCATCACTGTCTGGTAAGGCAGCACTACTGCTATGGACCGCAAGCGCCTGCAGAGAGTGGTAAAGACTGCGGAGGAGATCACCAGGACTCCACTGCCCTCTCTGCAGAGCATTTACCACCGCAGGGTGTGTAGGAAAGCTGCCTCCATCCTCAAAGACCCCACCCGCCCCCAGAACGGACTGTTCATACCCCTACCCTCCGGTCGGAGGTTCAGAAGTATGAAATGCAGGACTTTTAGGCTGAAAAACTCTTTCTTTCCCTCTGCCATCAGATTCCTAAACAGCTGATGAGTTTATTACCAGGAAATACGTCATGTACTGTTTAGATTCTCAGTTTGCACATGCACAACTGCACATTCACTGTTGACTACTGCACATACAGCTCCCATGTAGCATACATTCTCTATTATATTGTTATATCTCTGCATTTGCTGCTTTAAAGTGCCTTAGATTTTGTGTTACTTAATTATCTATTTTATATTTCATTTGTATTGTGTGGCATTCATGTGGACAACAAAGTAAGAATTTCATTGTACAGGGAAACAATAAACACTTTGACTTGACTTTGACTTCATAGTCACCAGCTAAACATGACTTACAGTGGAGTGTACCCCTTGGTATCACCCACATTTATGTTCAAATTGGCCTTAAAATGTGGTCACATTTTATATAAATTACAATAATGAACAAACAGTTTTAACTAAAAGCACAAAGGATTGTATTTCTCTTGTCCATACTGAATTCACCATTTAAACATTCACAGGGTGAGAAAGTATTGAGTACATGCTGACTCCCTGTGAGCCTGATCACTGCTTGAGGTCCTCTGGCAGGGCCTTACTAAAGGTTCCACAGTCTCAGCGTTTAAATAAAGGAAACTGGGCCTTTGCTGTCCGAGCCCCTCGGCCGTGGGACTCCCTGCCTCCTCAGTGTTCTCCTTTAAACCTCTTCTTAAAACTCTCTTTTATCACATGGCCTTCTCCTAAACGATGCATTGTAGTAAGTGTTTTAACCGATTATCATGTTTTAGACTAATACCTGTAAAGAAGGCACTTTGTTTTTAAATGGTGCTTTATACATTTATTATAATTCCACCAGCACTGAGAATGTCTAATGGCCACGTTCAAAAAAGAGATGTTGCTACCACATATGACAAACACAGTGTATTCCTTGATGTGTTATAAAGACCTTGTTTTTCCAGGCTTGCTTCGTGAGGGGGCTCGATTCTGACAGTCTTGGCATTTACCAGTGCCGTGAGTGGTTATACCAGTGGCTTCAGATGTCCTCCTCATTGAAAGGTATTTTCGTTTTGCTGGACAGGATATTTGTAATTTTGTGATTAGTCTCACCCTGTGGGCATGTCTGTTCTGTGTAACGTTTAAAAGAATTGTGCACGTATTTGCTTACCGAGTAGATTGAAACCACTGGCATGTTGGTGCATTAAATATGAAGCTGCAGCAGGTTAGGTTAGCTTAGCATAAAGACTGGAAACAGCTAGCCAGGCTCTGGCTGAAGCTAAGAAAATCAACCTCCCAGCAGCTTTAAAGCTCAGTGATTAACACACATTAGTTTAATCTGTGTAAAAACTGAAGTGTACAACTTCAATGTGATCGTTACTACGACGCTGCTGATTTTCCATCATATATTCTTGCCATTCTGATTGTGAAGCAGGTATTAAAAAGTCTTAAATTTAACTTTGTGAGGTTACAGGGGTTTAGGTGAAGGACTGTTTCTTGGCCAGGTGCAGTTAACTAAGGGACAGAGCTACACTGGCTGTTTCCCCAAACAAGCACGTCTGAAAATCAAGGTTTTTACAGGATTCATGTAATTTGACTTTTCTGAAACGTAAGAGCTTTTAATACACACATGAATGATGAAAAATAAGTTCTACAAGTATTTAAGTACATGGATTTATTGACATAACATTTGTCAGTATTTCTCAGTCATACACAACAGTTGGTAATATAACTAAATCAAAGTGACATGAACCAGAAAAGCTGCAGAAATTGATTTGATTTTTAAAACTTAAAGGTAAAGTTTTTGTAAAAGTCAACACTTGCCTGTTAGGAGTTGATGAGCCTCCTAGCTACTGTGACTAGCAGTGTTAAAATAATTAACTACAGGTCTGACAGTGCTGACTGAAACTCAGCAAAGGACTGAACAGCCGCATGCAGAAAAATACAGTTGCACCAGTCTCATTTTTTACATCTTCCAACAGCCTGCAACCACATGAAATAAAAGTGTCATTACTGTGATCGTCTGCAAGAAGCCAAAAAAAAAACAAAAAAAACCAAACAAATTTCAAGGCCTTTGTAAATGAGATTTAAGACTTTTTTAATACCTTGAGGCCTTTTAAAGACTTTCCAGACCTGAATATATCCTCAAATTGTCAGACTATTCACTTTCCTCTCTTCTCTTGATTTGTTTTCTTTAAAACCCAATTCTATTTTTACACTTCTTGTTTAATTTTTTTGCAGACTCAGAGATATCACTGCTTTTGCACAGCATTGTATTTCTGTCAGCCAAATTTCCGAATGGTCCCAGTCGCCACTGACAGGAAGTCTGAAGCAGTCTGATTTCTGACTTATTTGTGCACTATGAAGCATAGCTGTCGACATCGTTTTTTCTAAGGAAAAAACATTTTAAACTTGGCAAGAGTTTTATGTTTAAGGGACAAATCCTCTCAGACCAAAACTGAAAGCAAGTCAAAGTCAAAAGGATCCCACTCATTCTCGATACAGTAGAGTTGTTCTGTTTGCCATTTAAAGTTTTTAGCTAAAAGCTCCTCTCATCAGAAGTGACACCCAGTCATTTCCTCTATTAATAGTATTTTCAGCAATCCCCTTACAGAGACTAAAAGTGACAATTAATTGCTCCTACCCATGGTTGTCAGTCCTGGATCTGCTTGTTCGTCTGTGCCATAGATCTCCATTGTTCAAAAACAATTAAAAGCACATCAGTGAAACAGCTGCACCGGGTGACACTTTTTTGGGGGTAATGAAACCCCAGACTAACCCTGCCTATGTTGCCCCAAAGTCTCAGAGCAGCCAGTACTTCCTGAAGTTAGCATGAGGCAGAGCCAAAGTGTGCATGAACGAGTTCTTCCCCGAGTTCTCAGCTCTGTTTACCTCAGGTCTGGTGTTTGCTAATGAAGAAATGTCGCCCGGTGCAGCTGTGTGTTTCACAGATGTTTTTAAATCCTTTTTGAACCACAGAGGTCTATGGCACAGATGAAAAAGCTAACCTAGGACCAACACACCGACAGACATTAACCACGAGCAGAGGCCATTCATTGTGGGTTTTAGTCTCTGTATGCAGATCGCAGACTACACATAGGCATCTTTTTAGAGGTAGACATGTTTATGGATGCTAAATACAGAAAGAAAGCCCACAGGTTCGGTTGCAAAAACATTCATGCATGTTTGTGTGGTGAGGGGCTGCACTTCTTATTGTAGATGATTATCCTTTTAAACCTTTGCTGCACAGCAGTTACAAGCTGGCTGAAGATTGGTGATGGCCCTTTGTTTACTGAATGTCTTCTTGCTTTGGAGGCTGACAATGATTAAGAGCACACATGCAGCACAAAGCTTCTATTTAAGCCATCTGAACTTCTGTAACTATGAGGGGAACTGCACATGCCTTGTACTGGTGTTGTAAAGTGTCAAATAGGATATGCCCTTTGCTTCCTGTGCAAGAACTGGCCCAACATATCTAAATGTGTTGCAAAAGTTAATTTCTTTTCTGTAATTCAGAAGTTTTGAATGTTGTTTCTATGCTAATATTATATTTACATGAACTTCATCTCAATGGTCCTTTTTATTTTCCGTTTGTATTTAGACTTGAAGCAAATTTGGGTGCAATTTAAGAAGTCTTTATTAAAACCTGAAACTGGACCCAGCAATACAAATAAATCTCAGCATCCAAACAGACCCCCAGTCTCTACCAGAACAAGCAAAGTAAAAGATGTAAAGAACAAAATCATAACCAATAACAAGCTACCGATAGTTAAAAGCAGAGGGTTTTTCTTTTTGCCATTTTCCATCTCCACACACAAACACTATGGAAGCAAAGTTTTAACCTCTGAAAACAGAATCCAAAATCAATGCATGCTAAATTATTATACTGTGTTGTATTTTGTATTTGAAGTATAATATGAACATATTTAAAGTTTCCAAATGAAGCTCCCAAAAAGCATGACCTGAACAGCCAACTCCTGCTCAGGTGTGAAGCTGGATCACATGACCGTGTAGCCGCTGCGAATACCTCTTATCAGCATGCAAGCAAACACAATCCCCACAACCTGGAAGGGAGAGAGAGAAAATTGGCACTGTTGTTTCTGAGATATGCCTGTTTGTTTTCTTACACTGCCTATAACTAAACTCGATTTTGTTGACGTATTATACCAAATTTGGCCAACATTTTATTTTAATGGTGCATTCCATTAGAAGTGAGAAGTTGGGATTTCTGAGTTCCTAGTTGGAAATTTCAACTGGAACACCCCCTGATGTGGGATTTCTGTTTCAGAAAGCCTTAAGAGCTTCACCAACCTTGACCTCAAAATCCAAAATGGCTGCTCCACACATCAGCAGTAATATACTATTTATTAGCATTTGTCTTATTCGGGACTCAGTAAAACAGTCGTGCGCACAGTAAGGTCCAATGGGAACATGTTACTACAGTGTTCGTATGCGCCAACTACATCATAATGCTTTGTTATAAACTGGTATCGCTAACAGTGTTTAACCTGGCATGAACTGGGATTATGGTTAACTGAAACTGGAATGCAGTTAACTCAGGTGTGATGTCATTCCCAGTGCTAACTTCAGTGTGCCACGGTAAATGGAACACATCATCACTCCGTGTTTAACAGTACACCGATCAGGCTGTAATTATAGAAAAGTGAAATAATTAAGTAAATCTCTTTCTAACCACTACATTATAGGTTATTTATAAGTGTATAGTGTGTATGATCGTAAAGGCTAAATTTGGGGACTTATAGTTTACATTTAGATCAAAATTTAAAAATTAATGCATTAAAACATTAAAATAATATAAACACTGACTTTAGTGCTGTTGGTCCGTGTGCAAGAGGGTTTGGGAAAAATGACCTAACTAATGTTGGGTTAGATTACGTCTCTAATGCAACTTGCTTGTGTTTAATGGTGCTACATACCTCCAGGAAAGCAATGACAAGAGCTGCAATGATCACCCACTGGATTTGTTTCCTCAGTAGGGCCTCCACAGCAGGTTGACAACCCTGCATTAAAAAAAACAAACAAACAAAAAAAAGGCAAAACAGACATTAGATTCTATCTGCACATCTCACTGGTTGAGCTGGTTTTCAGACGTGTTGCCCCGGAGCAAAATCGACTTTTTTTAAACGCTTGCGTTTTGTTGACACTGGCTTTACTGTCTTTAAAGTCCCACAGATCCCACTGCTGTACGTGTAAAAACAGTACCTGTAAAATAAAATAAAACATTTTAAAACCTTTTCTGCAAATTCCATCAATTTTATTTTATTAATGTGAATCAACAATCGCAAAGTTGCCTAGGGCTTTGCAGCATATAACACACGCCATCCTTTGACCTTCATATTTAACCACAATATGCAGAAAAGTATTGAAGCAGTAATTCAAAACTAAACTTGTGTTCAATTATGACAAAATGCAGCAATGATCACACGCATCATCATTACACCAAATATACAGTAAAATTAGTCCATGTTTTGTATGTTATATAGGCTGCACATGAGCAAATGTAACGTATTCCCTTTGTCATGTTCTCTTGTTAAGTTTTTGTATAATATTTATTGTCTAGCTCCAGTTTGGTCTCAGCCGACTACGTCTCTGTAGCTTGTTAAGATGTTGTATATATTCCAACAAGAAGTCTCTAACTAGGTCTGTTTAGTGCTGGTAATATTTAGTTGGTAGAGTTTTTTATGCTTGTTTTTTTTTTGTTTTTGGGTGGAATTAATCAGCCGCTGCTGCAAAAAGAAATGAGGTCAATAGTGAGACTGACAAGGAGGTAAGTAGGGCTGCAGAGGTGGGTCATGGTTCTCTGTGGGTTTGTCTGTACGCACAAGGTTTTACACTTCACCCTGATGTAAATCAGCTCCATCAGTTGGTATTGGATAATCAGAGATATACTGCTAAACTGAAAACTAATACAGAAAGGCAAGCTGTAGGTTTGCAGAGAGTGTGAACAGCTATAACAGTTTTTCCAGAAAGTACAAACAACAACAGAAAGTACAACTCCTCAGCAAGGTAACAAACTGTACCTTGCTGTTGTAGAAATCTTGCACTGTGTGCAGCATGATATTGGATAACAGCTGATTACTGAGGAACTTCTTTATTAATCAACTTGTTTTTTTTTTTCACTGCACTATAAACAGATACACCAGTTGCTTCTCTGTGGTATTTCTGGCAAAAGGAGTGTTGCTGTAGCATTAAACCAAACTTGCCATTATCACCAGTAACCACAGGTGTCACAAATAAACCAGGACTGAAATGTTAAAAGACAAGCTTTAGCTACATCTCAAGTTCACCAACTTCATTACAAAAGCATCAGTCGTTGGGAGTTTACCAGCTGGTGCACTTTGACGGGGTTTTTCATGTTGTTGAGTCCACAGTCTTTAGTGACATTCACACAGCATGAGTCAGGCACAGAATTTTTATTAGGTTTGAAGTTGGCCCAGTCAGAAGTACTGTTCACACCACAGCACTGCACCTGGAAGTATAAGTGAGTCAAATGAAAAACATTTCATATGGACGTTCCCATTGTAAGTCTGCAAATCACAAATGCACAGTAAGATAATACAACTTGTGCCAGCAGATGGCGGCAAAAAAAAAAAAAGTCATCTTCCACAGCACCGGCCAACAGGATGGAGCAGTGTTATGTGAAGGTGGTGCCAACTTAAGTAAACAGTGAGTATGGAGTACAGAGTTTACAGTAAACTTACATCCTCCTGCAGTTTATCCACAGCCTTTTTCAGCTCAGTGTTGTTGTTATAACCAGCCATCATGTCAACGAGGGTTTTCTCGACCACAATTGAGACCTAGAAAGGAGACACAACATGCAGCCAAAGTTAAACCATGCCTTCTGCAGGGCTTTATGTATCTAACAATGAATTTATGCACACACACTTTCTTTCTGAAGACATATCCAGCTATTACTGCTGCAATCTCAACAATGATGACCAGTATGAGAAGGATGGCAAACTGCAAGAGAGACAAATAAAAAATAGTTATGATGCAAATAAGATACTTTTTGCATGTT